TTTACTCATTTAAAATAAAACATATATATTAATGTACTAATAAATATGTCTTAGTATATATACTTGCATCTAGCTCATGAACTAGTTTTATGTGTGTAAATTCAGGGTGTCCCAAAACATGTATATATACTTTAATAGCTGAGAGCTCAATTTTGAAAATAAAATGCATTTTAGTAAGCATTGCCTTTATAGTTATTCAAAGTATATGTATAAATTTTTGGACACCCTATATTTGTGGGAAATTTTCTGAAATTAGATTTATCAAATTTTAGTAATAGTTGTTTTTTTAAATAATTTGAGATATTTTTATTACTTGTATGTACTTTAATTTCTTAATATTGAGATTTCATTTAATGACTAAGTTATCATTCAGACAAGCATAATAAATTCCTGCAATCTAACTCTCACCAGTAGCATTAAATGTGTGATAGATTGAAATGTGTAACTAATCTTTATCAATGAAGAAAACTAGAAGAATAAAAATAGAAAATTCAAGAAACAAGTAGTTCAGAAGAGAGGAAACAAAAGAACATTGTGATTCAAGAAGTTCTGAGCTCATTCTTTAATTTTTCTTTATCTTTAAAATGACATGCAAATATGATTATTTTCTTTATTGTCCAATATTTTTCACATGGATAAAATCAGTGTTTAAATGCAAATATTACTCTGACATCCTAGCCACCAAAACAGAAGAGAAGTATGCAAAATTTAATAATAGGATGCCATAATAGCCAAGAATTGCCCAGTATCTGCATTAAAAAAAATCCCACAATAAGAAAAGCATTCTTTTCTACTGCCCAATGTATTCATTTTAAATAACAAACTTTTATTTTTATGTAACATATTGCATACTTATTACATAACATTAACATATTATATAACTATATTTATAAGTGTAGTACTATCAACAGGTATTGTGTTTTTTTTATTCCAGTCCCCTAATTTTTAATCTCTAAATGATGTTTTCTCTTTAGCTCATATTTTATTATGCATAGTTAAGAAAAACAATATAAAAAACACCTTACTATAAAATAATAACAACAGTAGCTAACATTTAAACTATTCTTATGTTATAGGCAAGCTTCTGAATGCTTTTTGCATAGTAACCCATGTAATAATCTCAACAACCCTATGAGGTTGATGTAATTATTAGTCCATTTACAGATGGGAAAACTGAGTTTCACATGTATTAAAAAACTTGCCTATGATCCCATAGCTAGTAAGTAGTAGTATCATGATTTAAACCACAGCAACAAAAACTTAGCCCATAATTTTAACTGCTAAACTTTCCCACAAATACTGACATTACAATATGAATCAAAGAAAACAATAAAATGTATTTAGTGGTAGAGTCATATGTATTACACTCTATAACCCATGGATACATTTTCAAACCAAATAGAAACCAGTCTAATAATGACTGCTAAAAATATTCAAATTACTGGAATGTAATAAAATTTTTACTGAATGTTAGATGTTATTGAAAAACAACAACCCTATAGTATTAAAAAAATCAACCCATAAAGTCCATTTCATTTTCTAAGAAAAAGTAAAGAGGAAATGTTTCTATGAAGCTGAAAATCATTCATTTTAAATATCAAACAGAACATATGAAACACTTAGAAAGTGATGCACTGTCATTGAGATGGAAATCATATCAATTTTTAAAATAAAAATATTGTTCTCTGTTTACCAATTTAATGAGCTTCTCTGAGATAAATAATTCAAATAGCATCCTCACTATAGTATTAAAATGCATAAAATATAAATCTACCTGCCATCTTCATTACTTCGGTAAAACACAAGGAAAGGATCTGATTTTCCAAAGAAGTCCTTCTTGTCCAACTTGTTAGCACAAAATTGCATCAGAACAGCATCCTGAAAACAAAATGAATATAATAGCTCAAAATCTGGATTACAAATAACCAGAAGCTACAGATCACAAATAAGACTTGAGAAGAAAACAAATTTGTGAAATTTTCTTGCAAATGGCCAAGTGTGTGAGAATCCCAGACAACATAAAATTGTTTTTAAGGACCATGAGACTGAAAACTTGACTTTGTGTTTGCTCTAGTCACAAAATTATAACTTTAAAATCTGTAACGATTTTCCTCTGAAAAGTGATATTAAGCTAGATAACTCTAGGTATCCAATATCATAAGACAAATCTTCATTTTCTCCTGTTATTCAAGTACACATTTTTAGAACATAAGAATTTTTTAAATTCCTGTGGAAATATTTACTAAACATCTACTAAGTATCTCTCATTTATTAGATGTTAAGATGTTTTAGATGATTAGATGAGGAACAAGACTGATCCAGACTTGGACCACATAGTTTACTATCTGGAGGGGGGGGGGAAGTTTTTTTTTTCTTAATTATACAGAGTGCTCCACAATATCTCCATAACTACTATTAAAATAATTTACATTGCATTGGACTTGAAGAAAAACAAAGCACCTTCATTTTCATTTGTAATTTAAATTAAACATGTAACATGTTGATCACTATGCCAAACCAATCATTTTTTTCAGTTTATATACTCAAGCATCCATAATCTACGTAATTTAGCTTAAAGTTAATCAAACTGGGGTATAATAAATCAAAGATATGAACTATTATTCAATTAGGTAGTGTAAGCTTTTTAATAAAGTAGAAAATACTAGCCATTTCAAGAACAAAATTACTATTTTGGTGTGCTTGCTTTTTTAACTGAAAGAAAATGCTAACAATTTTGGAAAGAGGTAGAGGGTCCAAGTAACTCAGATTAAATCAAGAGGTCATAGTTTCAAATCCTACTTGATGAAAATGTTAACAATGACTAAAAAGGCACTTCCTTATTCAACCATTTCTTTGCAGAGTCCAGCAATACTGATTAAGCGTCTACCTAAATTCTCCTTATTTCCTTTCAGTAATTCCAGAACACTATGCCAGAGATGATGCTCTCTGTTTTTCATTCATTCATTGATATACTTAATAAACATTTCTCAAGCAATACTCAGAGAAGTTTATAGGTCTAGATTTCTCATTTTCAAAAGTATTGATAAGAGTGTCATTTTACTTCGTTATTTAGAATACAGATGTGATATCTTCTACCAGAGGAATACTCATATTAAAGCAGGCATTATACTTCTAAGCAGGTATAGTTACAATACACATTTCAAAGAAAATTACAAAGGGAACACAAGCAAGAATAGGAATATCACTAATAACTCAAGCTCTTCAACCATGATCAATTTTCAAATCTAAGCTTTAAAGATTAAAAATTGATATACTATCCATTAAGGAAGTAGTGAGAGAATCACCTGATGATCAAACTATAAAGTCAAATTGAGAAGAAAGGGCTGGGTTTTTGTTTTGTTTTGCGTTATTTGTTTCGAATGCCCTTTCATCTTCCTATATATTACATGCCCTTGGGTGAGAGTAGTTTTCTAATAACATGGGACGAGGACATTGTTCTTGTCACAGAAAAATAAATAGCCCCTTGAAGATATTTTCCCAAAGCACCTGAATCAAAACACAAACTCCCAAAAAACATTCTGATATACTTGAAAGGCATTAATAGATCAATAAAATGTGTATTTTTCAAACTGGTTGTGAATTAAGCTTCAAAGAGATCAAGTATTGTTTAAAAATAAATTTTCACATGATCATTGGTAAATGTAATACCAAGCTGTAATTTTTCAAATTATATTCCTTAAGGCTTACAACATGAATAACCAATTCAAAATAAAGATTTCTTTCAACGTATCAAATTATATAAATTTAGGAAAAAATATATTTCGCTATTATTCAGGTTAATAACATAGCAGGGATTTCATCTGTAACAAGCACAAAAGGTATCCAATTTATAAGGAAAAAAATCCAAGCATTTACTTATTTTCAGAAATATACAGGCATCATTGCAAAGGTGTTTGTTTCTTTTTTAATCTCTTATGCTTAGTACCACCTGAGAGAATTTTCAAACTTTTCTTCAACACTCCACATCAGTATAACAAACTTCCTATTGAAGAAATCCACTTGAATATTTCACAGGCATTTCTAACAAGTTCAAATCTAACTTGCTTCTCCTATAATTTTCCCAGCTCAATTAGTGGTTCATCATCCACTCAAGTGATCAAAAAGTTGTTCTCAATTTCTCCCTTTTCCTTACCCTTTACACATTTCTTCATCAAGTTGTAACGTTCTGAGTCTAAAACTTTCCTCAAATTTTCACTTCAGCTACACTGGCACCACTCTAGCCCAAGCCCACCTCCTCTCTCACCTGCACTTGGACAGTATGGCACTGATTCCTTTCTCCCTCTTCCTCTCTTGGACCTATCCAATCCATTCTCCATTTAGCAGACATGTTCTTAAAATGTGAAAGAAATACTTCTGTACATAACAAAAATGCTCCAAGGCTTTCTCCTGTATTTCAGATAAACAGACTCTTAAAATGGTCTACAAAGCTCAACACCAGCCTAGGCAGTTTGGCTCAGTAGATGGACCATAGGCCTGCCAACTGAAGGGTCTTGGGATCAAGTCAGGTCAAGGGCACATACCTTGGTTGCAGGCCCCATCCCAGCCCGGGTTGGGGATCATGCAGGAGGCAACCAATCTATGTGTCTCTCTCACATCTATGTTTCTCTGTATCTCCTCCTCCCTTCCGCCCTCTAAAAATCAATGGAAAAAATATCCTCAGGTGAGAATTAACTAACTGAATGAATGAATGAATGAATGAATGAAGCTGAACACCAAATGGGCTCTGAGCTGCCTTTTCCACCTTCATCTGGCAAAGTGTTACCTCAATCGTCCCCCACTCCTAGGCCCTTGTCACCAAACACCGGACACACTCCTCTTCCTCCTCAGGATCTTACACGAGCTGTGCAGACTGCAGGAATTCCTACTACCCTGCGGCAGGCAAACCATTCCTCGGGGCTTAGCTTGCATGTCATTTGTTCGCAGAGGCCCACATGACATCCTCCCTCTTATAAGTTAGATTTTCCACTGTCTTTCCCATAATATATTTGATCACTTAGTAAACATCATGACATATTTACCTGCACAGTCATCTGCATTTCCCACAAGTCGTGTTCACTAAAAACAAGGCCCAAGGTGGTTGGTTGTGTTTTCTCACCATTGTATCCCAAGCTCCCATTTCTGAGACTAGCACGTTTGTACAATATTGCTGAATCATTCAATCAGAATAACTAATGTTCTTTGTGGATAATTTCAAGTTACTTGTAAGCTATGGTTTACACATCACTCAAATGATGCTTTTGTTTTCCCTGCAGAGGAGCCATCTGGGGGAGGTCCTAAGAATATCAGCATTTTGCCCTAGCTGGTTTGGCTCAGTGGATAAAGTGTTGGCCTGTGGGCTGAAGGGTCCTGGGTTTGATTCCAGTCAAGGGCACAGGCTCGGGTTGATTTCAGAAAGGAAGGGAGAGGGAGAGAGAGATAGAAACATCAATGATGAGAGAGAATCATTGATCGGCTGCCTCCTGCAGGTTCCACGCTGGGGATCGAGCCCACAACCCAGGCATGTGTGTGCCCTGACTGGGAATCGAACCGTGACCTCCTAGTTCCTAGGTCGACGCTCAACCACTGTACCACTCATGACATCCTGACCATAAGATGTAGCCTGGCCATACGCAATACATGCCTCAGTATCTTGATTTTCTTTTGAAATAGATGAATAATAATGTGTTCACTGGCATATTTATACAAAATCACCTTAATACCAGATTTTGCCAAAATAGCATGTTAATGTCACTGTAAAGAACAAGTATCTTATTGACTTGGAACTTATTTTTCTCTTTCCTCCATCATTATACAAAACTCATTATCATCACACACATAAAGAAATTCAGAAACAAGAAGTGTAATAGATGATTAGACGGTATCATTAAAAGAAATCATTGTGCCAGTTTAACTAAAAAATAGGATGGTGGTGGCTATTATTCCTGTATTTAAATAACTGCAGTATTTTTGTAAAGTATTTTAGTATACATAAAATGCTTTCATATACATTATATTTTCAGATTTAATGATATAGTAGTCAATTTTCAGAGATGGGGAAATTTTAAAAAATATTCTAGTTACCTGTTCAAATATTTGGCTCCCTCCCCAGCCCCCATCAGCCCTTGTAAATATGAAAAGTGAAACTCAGAGCAATCAAGTGACTTAATAAGCCAAAATACAAATTACTAGCAAAACCAAACCCGGTTCAGTCAGATGGTCTTTTACAGCATTATACTGTAAGTGGTTTTCTGGCATTTTACACATGAGAGAACTGAGACTGAGGTGGCTGTGACCTGCCCAGGGAATAAAGACAAAGAATAAGGAAAAAGAATAGGAAGGCCTTCGCTTTGAATGCATTTCTAACTGCTTAAATTCTAATATTCTTGTTTAATTATCTCCACCAGCCTCTTATTATACTTTCCTTTTGTTATTTCACTATCCCAGCCCCCAGAGTCCCAAGGGTGCATAGTTAATTGAAATGCTCAGTTTCAGCAGTTGCAGGCAAGTAATATGATGTTTTTCTGACCATATTGCCTTTACATACATACTTATGCATATAAAGCCATAGAGATTATCTTAAAAAAAAAAACAAAAAAACCAACCTCTGGGGATGAAAGTGAAAAACTCAGGTACTAATTAATTGCTCTCTGTATAAAAACTACAGCCAATGTCAAAGTATTAAGTTTTGGTACTTTGGGGGAGCTTCTGTTCATAAAATCATGAAGCAAACATTGTAAATAAAGAGTACTGAAACATAATTTCTTTTCCCCCAAAATAACAATTCCCAGGGACCCGTTGGGCCACTCAGAACAAACAGAGAGCACTGACTTCTGATTCAGAACCCTCATTACTTCCAGCTCTCAGCTCATCCTGACAACAATGAAATCACTGAACATGAGTCAATGGCTGTATCAGCAAATCACGACTAAAAATAGCAGCCTTCTAAAAATACTGACTATGCACTTGTTCCTAGTTGGAGTGGTAGTTGGTCCTTCTTTTAAATGTGGACTTACCAGCTAACAAAAGATGGGACTGTATATATTCTAAATTAATTCAATTAGAAATAGGGAAACATGGGTATGTCATGCAAAAGGGACAAGGTCAAATGACTAGAAATATTCCTTCAAAGTCACACATAAATCTTCAAAATTTTTGCAAGAACTAAACTGATTGGTACAACTGACAACTCCTTATATTAATGCCTCTCCCAAATGATAATGACATTAGGTTTTATTTGGAAATGTTCTATTCTATAAAAAGATCATTAAACTAACTGATTATTCTCTTGGGACTACAGAATATAGTCTCTCTGGTTAAAGTACTAAGTATCTAAAGTGATATTTAATGAGTTATAAATTAATTTAACACATACTTTCCATTAAATTTGCTACAATTACTCAAGTTAATCATTTGTGTAGATTTTCAGAAATATTATTTAAAGTTAGTGTTGGTAACACAATTTAAACCAAAGAAATTGACTTACCCTGCAACAGTTTAGTTCCTCTGCTGTAAGTATGATAGTGCCACATTTCTTCCCTGGAATTCCTCTAAAACAGCAAAAAATATATGTATATACATTAATATCTTATATTTACAATATTACATATTTAATATTTGTATACAACCAAATAAAGAGAGTATTACTAATAGGTGGGCTCTTTCCTAACAAAATATATTCCCAGTTCCAGCATTAAGTCTATCCTCTATTTCCACACATCCTGATGAAGCTAAACTTTGATCACATTCAACATGTCAGTTCTCTGCACAAGAATCTTCAGTAGCTTCATATTATCTAGCATATTTAATACAATATAATATGATGATATAATATGATATATGGTATAAATTTATAACAAAACTTTCTCCTGTGGTTACTAATAGTTCTATTATGTAATTAAAACCTATCCTAATGTTGGTTTCATATTTCTTTCTCCTTTCATCAGCATGGTAACTTATTTGCACTTATGTCTTTCTGCCATTCCCACACCCTGACATACCGTAGTGTGTTTAACTATTCCCTACCCTGCCTCAAACTTTCCATATCTTTCTATGAAACTCCATTTGTTCCATGAAACCTTATCCCAGTCAATTTCACACAAAGTTCGGCCTTCTCTGCACTCCCACTGCACTTACAGGCTAAGCTTTTAATCTTTCCTAAATTGTTAGAATCATATATTCTTTCCCCTTGTTTTCTCAAGTTGATTATAAGCTGTATAAGAGCAAAACTCATGAGAACAAACCTCTTGTAAACCAAGAGAGTTAAATATCTATACCTAGCAATCGGTCACACATATAAGAAAAATGTGTGACATAAGCAGAATTAAGCAAATTGCAACTGCCATTCACTTTTCCTTTCACATGTCTCTGGCATATTTATGTTCGCATAGCTTCTGGCTGACACTATGAGAAAAGTTCAATAGGAAAATGCAAGGGGTGCGCCTGGTTTCCTGCTTTACACAAGGGAGAAGTCAAGGAGAATTTTCCAAAGGGCGATGTTTGTTCTAACAGTATATTTCATGCTTCTTTTCTCACAAATCATAGTTCAACTCTTCTGTGTGTCCTGGAAACTAAATTGTGAAATTAAAGCCCAATGGATGCTTTTGTTCTCAAATATATTATTCATCCCTGATAGTTTCATTTGTACCAGCAGGTATGCAACAAATACATGCCCCTTAACTTCCACGTATACAGGGATTGGAGTGTGAGTATCTCGACTGGGAACAAGGCGGAAGAACGGACAAGTATTCTCAACTGTGAATAGAGCGATGAAACTATCCTCACTCTAAAACTGCTCTTCCCTTTCTATCGTTCTGTTCTAAACTTTCTTCTGGAGAGCACCACTCCATCTTGAGCTAAAAATGCCAGCTTGTGCAGGAAACTACCTATCGCAAAATCTCGTTTCCTCTCTCTCTTTACTCCCCATTCGGGAAATTGTACATGTCAGGATCTTCCATTTTCTCCAGGTCTTTATGACTAAGAGATCAATTAATTGATCCTTGTATGTTTCTTTCTTACAATATTACAAGCAGCATTTCGCAGTTAATTTTTCTAAACCAACTGTACCTTCTTTTTCTTCTTTCTGTGTAGAAATCACAAAATGTATATTTTTGGAATTATGGCAAACTAAACACCTTAACTGAACAACCACCTGAAAATACTTTGAAATGCTGATCACAATTTGCAAAAATTTTTCTCATGGCTCTGATAACCAGGCAAGAAAGTAAGAACCAATCAGAAGTGGAAACCAGCAGAGGTGAACCCTGGTGAGTTTGATCTTGGGCTTGTTTTTAATGGCTCCTTAGGGCATAAAGATAAAAGACCCATAAAAGGGGGGGGGGGGGAAGAGGGGGAGGAAAGGAGTCTCACAAGATGAGAAATTCAATAAATGGCCAGCTCACAGCATAAAGCTTCACTCACAATGACTACACTGACTGGTTGATTGAAGCATTTATTAGATATAAACATCCCCTTTGGAGGTATGTACAAAATAAATCCCTGCCTGAAAACTTGGTGATGAATAAAAGAGAAAAATATGTCTCTTAGTAATTCAGACCTTACCCAGGCTTGCTGCCTTAATTTCTACTACCTGGGTGGTCATAAAAGCTTCTAACCAAAAATTCAGTAAATGCAAGTGATCATAAGTGCCTGGTAAATGCAAAACCTCTCTGAAAGAGTCTGCCTTGAAACTACATCTGAAAATAATCTCACATTAAGCATTATATATATATTTACAAAACACTGAAGGAAAAGTGTACCATGTGTCTCCAGAAACAACCGACTGCAGAATCCAACATGGACATAGAATAGTGAAAATGATAGTGGGGAAGGGCATGTAATAAGAGTAGGGCCACACTTGTTTAATAATTATTCACCTTACTAATTATAGATAAGAGGCTTTCTTACAGATCCTGGGAAACTGGAGGAGGAAACAAGGCTGTAAAAAGATAAGATGCCTAGATGGGTCCATTACTCAGAAAAGAAATACATTTTGTGAAGAGACCAAGGACAGGACAGGCTTTGATTTGGTTGCTGTGTCCCATCCTGACCCCCTCCAGAAGTTTGCCTCAGGAATGCTGACTATTCTCTGGTCCCAGGAACAGGCTGAGCTGTTTGTAACATCATACAAGATTAGCCACCTAGTTACCAAACTTTGAGCTCCTGAGACCCGACCCTCCCCTTTTCCATGTTACACTTGCAGCTCACAGCTAATTTTTCCCTCATGTGTATACAATCATCCAACTGGCAAGTGGGGGGTCAGAGTAGAATTTTCCAAGGTGACCGACTGCTCTCCCCATGCTGCCGGAATTACTGGAATAAATGCTCAGATATGATTCAACCCTGTCTCTGCTTAATTTGGCTCAAGTAGTGACAGGCGGCCTCCAACACATTGTGTCCAGTTGCAGAAATATTATGCATAGTGTACAAAGTGTAAATATGTATGACATAACTAAAACTTACAGAGAAAAATGGAAAGCTGAGTAACTAGCAAAAGCCAATAAAAATAATTAAGAATACTTAGCACTGCACAATAATAAAAGTAATACCCGAAACATTATAATACCTTAGTATTTTGTATGTAAAAAATTTATAAGCAAAATGGCCACTCACTGTATATAAAACTTTAGACAATAAATAAATAAATAAGAAAAAGTCATCATGAAATCTCAAGGGACTCCAAATTGACAAAACGATTTTGAAAAAGAACAAAGTTGAAGGACTCATACTCCCTGATTTCAAAACATATTACAAAGGAGCTACAGTAATTAAAATAGTGTGGGTGCTGGCATAAGGACAGCCAACTAGACCTATGAAATAAAATAGAGTACCCAGGAATAAACCCTCACATATATGGTCAAATGAACAAAAATTCCAACACTATTCAATGAGGAAAATACCGTCTCTTCAACAACTGGTGTGAGGAAACTGCATATCTACATAAAAAGAATAAAAGTGGACCCTTATTTTATACCATATATAAAAATCAACTTAAACGTAAGATCTAAAACTATAAACTTTTAAAAGAAAACACAGTGAGAAAATTCATGACACTGGTCTTGACTGATTTCTTGAATATGACATCAAAAGCACAGAAAAATAGATGACTGGGACATCAAACTTTAAAACATGTGTACCTCATAGAACACATAAACAGAGAGAAAAGGCAATGGGAGGGTGCATATGCAATCATATGCCTGATAAAGGCTTAATATTCAGGATTTCTAATATAAATTACTATATACAAAGAACCCCTACAACTCGATGGAAAAAATATAAATAGGACTAAAAACCTTATCTCATTCACAGCCCAATATCCTCTGCCCAGTAAAATAAACCAGAGAATAACAGTGGCAGTCTAATTTTCAGGGAAGTTAATAAAGATGACTTTGAAGGTCAACTATTCCCCCAAAGTTCACGGTATGTTCACATGCAAAGATTGCACAGTAAAGACAGGTACTGCTTCATTGTAAATTTGTATGTTTCTCACCTTCAAGACTAACCATTCTCCTGTCCTTCCTCCTCCTCTTCCTTCTCACACTGACTATTGATCTCTACAAGCATGAGGGCCACAGCACAGCTCTCAGAATAAGGCCACATTGGAGTTAGATCTTTAAACCAACCCTTTAAGGCTCAGGCCCAAGTTGCCCTCAAGCCCTATTCTTGTACTTTAATGTCCTGTCTTCTGCCTTATTCCCAAGCTTCCTTTCTGTTTTTCTTCCCCTCCCCATAATTCTCTCATTGAACTTCAGCACTCACAGGACTTCATTCTTGAGTCTTATGTCAGAGCTGGGATTCTGTGTCCATTAGACCACTGCAAGCTGGTCTTCTAATTATCACCTGCCTCCAAGTCCCTATCCCTGTAGTCTTCAACACCTATCAGGACACTTACTAATCCCTCTTGGATCCCACTCTTCTTTTCTACCTTCCACTAATCGCCAAGATCAAATGCTGCAACAGCCAGCCTACAAAGAACACAATCTGTTCGCTATGCCAAAACCTCTGCCAGTTCAGTTACCCTTGGAGTTCCAGCTCCTCCCCAGAGCAAGAATCGCCTTTCTCATCACACCAGTCCCTGCCTCCTTGCCCCATGCTCTCATACAGAACCAGTCAGTCAAGCCTGGATCAGAGTAACAGGAACAAACAGGTCTGTTATTTGATGACTGTAATAAATGCTTGCCTCCCAGAGGAGAAAATGGTAATCTTTCTTAAACTGGTACTGATCCTAGCATTCTGGAAGACTTTCTGAATCCACCACTGAGATCCCTAAAGATAGAAGAAGTATGACTGACAGCCTCACGCAAAAAATTAGATACAATCTCACAGCATGAACAGACACACTGCCACTGCCGAGTGGGTATAATGCCAGATCATAATGGGATGATCTAAAAGAGAAGAGCTGATGAGTCATAGGAAGTCACAGTAAATGTTGCAGGCAAATTAAGTAGCACAAGGCTCATTTTCGGAGGGGGAGGGGAAAAGACCAAAGGGTAGGACAGAATTAAGATATGAGAAATGTGTTTGCTAAAAACTTGAATGCAAGGGAACAGAC